CCGGATCTCCACGGGGAGATCGTTCCAGAGGGCCGGAGCTGCAACAGAGAAGGCTCTCCCCCGGGGGGTCGCCAGCCAACATTGGCTGGCGGATGGAATCCGGAGAAGGCCCAAGTCTGTGCGATCAAATCGGTCTTTGGGAGGTAATTGGCAGGAGGCGGTCTCTCAGGTACCCAGGTCCGATGCCATGTAGGGCTTTATAAGTAACAACTAGCACCTTGAAGATAATATACAGATAATAAGTCATAATAGTTAACTCCATAATACCATAATTATTGTGTCTCTGATACCAAAATGACTGCCTGAATCACAACGTTTTAACAGCTTTCTAAATACAATAACAAGTCACATTTTTAATTTGAAGGATAGCCGTTTCTACAGGAGAAGAACTCCAGCACAGAAGCTTGTCTCCAGAACCCCTCCTGCTAATTTAAATTTCTTGATTAACTTCTTGATCTTGTCAGAGTACGTTTTTACATTGGTTTTCTCGTATTGTGTTTTTAAAAAGTTGTCATTTCTTGTTAACAGGGAATGGATGCAAATTGAATTTGTGGCTTCCCTGAGTTCGTTAACTTCTTGGGGAGCCCGTGGTTTAGGAATGGCATCTGCACATACAACCTCTACTGTGCTGAGATACTGGTACCAAGGATCCCCTCCTGGAGAAATGATCTCCCTGGGGGTACTTAGTGAAGGTAAATGTCCTGAAAAGCTGTCCTGACCCACTTCTTTTGGTGTCACTAAAGCCTTTTTCAACCAAGCTGATTATTTTCAACAGGAGATCAAAAAAAATCAAGATGGCATATATGACTGTGTTTTTAAAGCCCTGAACCTGTAAAATCCACAGCCATTTTAGCCACGTGATCCGCAGCCCCTGCATATGGGGAGCCATATGTATACAAGTGGTGCCATCAATCCCTCCTCTTGGATTAGACCAGTGTTTCTCAACCTTGGCCACTTGAAGATGTCTGGACTTCAACTCCCAGAATTCCCCAGCCAGCGAATGCGAATGCTGGCTGGGGAATTCCGGGAGTTGAAGTCCAGACATCTTCAAGTGGCCAAGGTTGAGAAACACTGGATTAGATTGATCATTAACGTTATGATGGTGATGATTTTGTACCTTCGATGAATCCTAGAAACTTGCAAGTCTAGTTTCTGCAGTTTTCTTATCAAGTTTTTTTCAGAAGTGATTTGCCATTGCTTGTTTCCTTAGGGCTGAGCATCCAACTGGTTTTGTGTCCAAGGTGGGACTAGGACTCTGCAACACTAAACTGGGTTTATCCTGTGATTATACAGGATCTACTTTAAGCATGAGCCAATTCTCTGAATCTCAATTTAGAAATCTGTTCTGACCCCCTCCTCCATCCAGTAATGAATGCCGAGACAAGCTTAACTGGAATGTCACAGCACTTTATTAGCAAGAAA